CTCCTCTCCTCTCCTCTCCTCTCCTCTCCTCTGTAAAGGGATAAAATGCTCTTATTTGGTTACTTCGTGCTGTGATTTGGGACAACCTCTCAGTTTTAAAGCCTAGAAATAAAAAGCAAATTTTCCTCCTGAGAGCTCGGGCTGGGAACTTGCTGCTGCCACCAGAGGGACTCTGAAATGCGACAGAAAAGCTGAGAGTCCCCAAACCAAACTTCTGGCAAAGCTTCCTGACTTTCTGGGGCTGCTCTGAGGATTTCTCTGTTTTCTGTACCCAGGGCTTGAGGGCTGGGCTCTGATATGAGCTTTATGTACTTTCTTCTCCCATCATCCTGGTGATTATGAGCAGATTATGAACAGATTATAATGTATTAAATAGATTATAATAGATTATGGACTCTGTCATCCCACCCATTCCCCACAGTTAATCCCACTGTGAATCTTGCAAAAGTGCAAAATGCAAAATGCTCATAAAATCCCCTCTCTTTTGGAGGCTTCCTGATGTTCAGTCACACACCAGGCACCAAACCTGACTGCTGAAATAGGAGTTAATGATTTGCTTGCACTCATGAGGGAATGGTAATGTGAGGCTTTGGAGCTTTTCTTGAAAATTCATTTTTTTTAAAAGAGAAAGATGATGACAAATAAAGTGACTGAAGGTAAAGGCTGCAAAAATTCAAAAGGGTTCAGGTGGATTCTCCTGTGCCTGATGAAAACAACCACTCTCATTTTCCCCACAAAGGAGTGGTCTTTGTCTTTTCAAGTAGAAAAATTGTCCTTGCTACAGCAGCTCCCATTTGAGAAGATCCCACTATAAAGAAAGGACAGAGCACTTAGGGTGAAACTGTTTTTCTTCTCCAGTCTGGGTTGGGTTTTTTGTTACAAACCCCTAAATCCTAAGGGACATTGGAAAAAAAACCAAAAATCTCTAGTGATGAAATTATTTTCCTTCTTGTAAAGCATATATGGAGTTTTGCAGTGACAGCCTCTGGCCCAACAAGAAAAAGGCTAAAGGCTGCTGCCTTCCCTAAAATTCCCATTTCCCATGTTTCTGAAGAAGTAACTGTGCCACTGAACCTGCAGCAACATTTCATTTATAATAAAAAACACCCAAAGCATTAAGAACCACGGGATTACAATGATTTAGGTATGACAAGTGACCCCAGGGTACACAGAACTTGATTTTCTGGAGTGCAAAATAGCCAAAGTAAAATAGTTTTCAAGGAACTCTCCACATGTTGCTTTCAGTTACAGCCCCACTGACTTCCCTGAAATGCTTCAGATTTACCTGGAGTGACACCAATCCCAGAATTTGCAAAGTCCCATCATCCAGATTCTGGTTATCTCAATTTTCACACGCTTCTGTAACCTCTGTGGCTGGGGACACAAGATGTTTTTAATCCCATGGCTTTGGGAATCCCAACTCTTCCTTTCCAGTGCTCAGGACAGGTAATAACTCTCCCTCCTGTAGGAAACAGCCTGAGCTGCCTTGCACAGGGAGGTTTGTAGGGAATGTGCTTGGAAATGCTGGGATCCCAACCCCAAACCAACACCATCCCCCAAATCCTCAGGGTGAGCAGTAACTCACAGGTAACCTAAAGGCTGTGTCAGCCCCAGCCAGGGCTCTGTGCTCCAGACAGGCAGCAGCAATTCCCTTCCCAGGGGAGCTCCCAGACACATTTGGTTTTGTTGTGAAAGGAAAACCCACGAGGACTGAGTTTCCCTCAGCCCCAAACCATGAGCACCCCAAGAGGAGTCAAAGCTTGCCCAGTTACAGACAACAGGAATTCAGCTGGAACATCTTCTCCAGCAGGATATTTGTGCAGTGGATCAAACCTACTGACTTTTGGCAGTCTAACTGCTCTGACAGGACAGCAAGAGGGATGTTGTTTATGTAATGAACCTTTTTCAGCTGAGCTCTGACCCCTGGGAGTGGTGTTTGTGCAGGTCTGCACCTCGTGGTGCTCCCTGAGCTCTGAGAGCTGTCACTGGGCACACACAGCAGCAGCTTCTGGGTGGGAAACAGCCTCTCCTGGGAGAGCTGCTGGGTGGACACCACCCACTTCACAGGATCTCTGCTTGGAGTAACCTTGGGTGGGGTTATCAGAGCCTGGGGGAGAGAGGAGCAGCGCTGGGACGAGGCACAGCCTGGCTGCAAAACCTGAGCAGTGGCAAATGGAACAGTCACAGGATGGTTTGGGTTGGGAGGGGCCTTGGAGATCATCCAGTGCCACCCCTGCCATGGGCAGGAACACCTCTCACTGTCCCAGGCTGCTCCAAGCCCCATCCAGCCTGGCCTGGAACATGTCCAGGGGGCAGGGGGCACCCTGTGCCAGGGCCTCAGCACCCTCACAGGGAAGAATTTCATCCCAATATCCCAACTAACCCTGCCCTCTCAGTGGAAGCCGTTCTCCTTGTCCTGTCCCTCCATCCCTTGTCCCCAGTCCCTCTCCAGCTCTCCTGGAGCCCCTTCAGGCTCTGCAAGGGGCTCTGAGCTCTCCCTGGAGCCTTTTCCTCTGGTGAGCACCCCCAGCTCTCCCAGCCTGGCTCCAGAGCAGAGGGGCTCCAGCCCTTGGAGCAGCTCCGTGGGCTCCTCTGGGCTCTCTCCAGCAGCTCCAGGTCCCTGTGATGTTGGAGACCCCACATTTGGAAGCAGCACTGCAGGCTGGGCTCACCAGAGTGGAGCAGAGGGGGAGAATCACCTTCCTTGACGGGCTGGGCACACTGCTTTTGAAATATCCAGTCTTTTGCCTTTCACCTGGATGCCCCTCCAGCAACCCTTTGCTGTTCCATGCTCCCACCATGTGGCACAGAAGGCACAGCCACTACACACTGCTGGTGACACTGAGCAGAGAAACAGAATCCCTGCAGGGGGCTGAGAGGTGATTTGGGAAGTGTATCCCAATGAGCCCCTTCTCTTTGCTTATCCCCACGTTAGCTTACAGCTGAAGAGCCCACCTGCTCTGCATTTTCATCCTTTTCCTGTGCAGAACTCCTTTTCAGCTTCCCCTTCTTATCAATAACTGTGGGTTTAGGCTGCTCAGCTTTTTAATTAATTTATTTATTCTTTTAAAGTACAAAACAAAGTTCCTAAAACTCTCTTTGATCCCTGTCCAGCTCATGGGATGCAGCCATGCCTGGCTCTGCCAGGACTTCTGTCCAGACACACTTTGCATGACATTCATTCTTCCCAAAATGCCTTCTGAGTTCAGCCTTATCTTTTTAATTCTTGTATGGGAGTTACTTCCACCCTCAGAAATGGGAACCAAAGGAAAAGTAACAATGAATTTAGAATTAACAATTAAAAAAAAATCAATTAATTTCTAAAAAGTTGTTCTGAAAATCTGCTGAATCCTGCTCTCCCTGCCAATTCCCAAGATGAATTGTGTGTTAGTCCCCCTATTTCAGAAGGAATGGACAATATTAGGACTATTCATGATGCCCAGCTTGGAGTCTGTGCAGCACTGGAATATGACAAAGTAATCCCTGGTGGTTCAAAGAGAGTCCTGTGGTTAAAACTAAAATGGAAAAGGTGAGTTCCTCATTCCCCTGCTCCCCCAAAAGCATCCCAAGAGAATGCTGACTCCAGCACAGAAACATCTTCATCCAACTTGTGAATTTTTCTGTTCTGAGTGCACAAAATCCCATCTCTGTGCCTGTTCTCTGCTCTCAGCCCTGCCTGTGGTGTTGGCACTTTGTGTCTCTGCTGTGGCACAAGCGCTCCCTAAATTTTGGTGTGGGACATGAGAGGATCACCCAAGGACACAGGAATGCACTGCAGGGCTGGAGTGGGACTCTGCTCAGGCAGATGGGGGTTGGAATAAGTAATAAATAAATTATTAATAATAAAAGAGTGGAAATGACAGTTCCTTACTCTGCTGCTGCTTCTGAACTCCCTGGGCATCACCAGCTGCTGACAAGAGTTTGTGCAACTCGTACTGTGCTTTTCTTATCCCCAGAGTCCATCCCAGAACAAGAGAAGGATACTGACCCCAACTTCATCCCCAGAGCTGGGAACTGGAGCATCACCCCCCCCTGAGTTGGGTGAAGAGACCAGGCGAGGGGAAACCTGAGGAGGGTCCATTTTTAATAAGCATTTATTTATAAACTGACACTTTTTTACAATTTTACAATTGTTTAAGTGCTTACAGGCATCTCTCTGGTGAAGGTTTAGTGTGAGATGCCAAGCAGGGAGAAAATGAGCAGAATACATTGAGGCAAAACTGGTTTGATCAAATGTCATGAAAAAAATTCTCTTTTTTATAATGAGTTTCATGATATAGGATTCAGTAATTTTTCTTAGAGCCTCAGGTCTTTGAGTGATAGGATCATAAATAGTTTTTTTATTTCTTCCAAGGTAAATTTTCAGGTTTGTCAAGCTCTGTTGACTTTTAAGAAAAGGACCAACTTTTTCAAGAAAAAATATCAGTGGCAAATTCAAACCACCTTAGGTAGAAACCTTAAAAAGTTAGAAGAGTTTTTGGTTTTTTTAGGTAATCCTGTGGTTTCTGACAGCTTACCTGGTGGTTTTTGAATGCTTGGAGTTCAAAGTGCTGCTGCAATGAATTTTAAAATAGAGACTTGAAGCATGATAGAACAGTAGTGCACTGTAGTAATGTAACAGAAAATATGAAAAGGGGCTTAAAAGTCTCTTTACCCACTCCAGAAACAGCCAACGGTAACTCACAGGGCAGAGCCATGGCTGGCAGCTCAGTGAAGTGATACCGGGCCACTTCCAGATTTCTGCAGCTCTGACCCAGCTGCAGCCCCAGGACAGCGCAGAGAAACCACGGGGTGAGGAGCTGGAGCCGAAACTCAGCCAGGCAGGAGAAGAGTTTGTGCCAGAGCCGGACACAGCATCCACCTCATCTTCTGCACCCCAAACCCTGCAGGATCTGTCCCAAACAGCTGCTGGCTCCCGGCAGGACCCCCCCAACAGCCCTCAGCCAGATGGAAACTCATCTCATCTCATCTCATCTCGCAGCATTTGGATTCACACAGCTTCTTGCCCCCGGCTAGAGAGAGCAGCAGAAACGAGCTTTAAGAACCCTTCAGGGCCAGGGGATCCCAAAGCCCTACCTTGGCCGGACGCTCTGCCGGTCCTGTGTGCTGGGAGCGCCTCCTCTTCCTCACTTGTCCTTCAGCGTGGCCATGCCCAGCGCCTCCGAGCTGTAGTCGTACTGGTTGCTGGAGGACATGGAGCGGCCCCAGGAGCACTGCAGGCTGGAGCCCCTCTTGCGGAAGGAGGACGTGAACCTGTAGAAGTTGCGGTGCCTGTTGCGCAGGTACTCCCGGTAGTTTTTGGTGAGCAGGGTGTAGAGGAAGGGGTTGATGCAGCTGTTGCTGTAGGTCAGGCAGGTCACCAGGTAGTTAATGCACTTTTGGGTTTGGGTGGTGAGCTGCAGGGAGCTGCTGTAGAGGCGCACCAGCTGCCAGATCCAAAAGGGCAGGAAGCAGGCCCAGAAGACCAGCACGATGCTGAAAATCATGATGAGGACCTTCTGCCGGGGGGATCTCTTGCTCTTCTCCTTGTGGGGGGGGTTCCTCTGGGACTCCAGGTAGGTCCTGGCCAGGCGCGTGTAGAGGAAGCCGATGATGATGCCCGGGGCCATGATGCTGGTGCTGAAGAGCACGGTCAGGTAGGTCCTGTAGGCATCCACGCTCCAGGTGGGCGCACACATCCTCTTCACCTTGCCCTCCGCCTTGCCCCCCTCGGTCAGCGTGACCATCAGCAT